CTCTGCGACCGATTGCCGACAACCAACCCAATAGAACCTCTGCTTAACCTTTTCCAGGGTCTTCGTGATTCCCAGGTGCCCTCCACTAGGACCATTGTGGAATTCCTTGAGTACATCCGGAATTCTTACCCTTGGAACTACTATCAGGTTGCGGGAGCACTGGCCATCTGCGCTTTCCCATACCCTATGCAAACAGCCAGATATTAATTTTAAGCTGTTCCATTGTGCCCAGTACGCCTTTGCGATGGGGCTTTCCGCTGTCATTTGCTCCTTAGTTGGCCTCCTGTCCACCTCCAGTCCATGCATCAAAAGCTCCAGATCTGGATCTTCCTGCTGACACTTTCGTAGCTGTTCTTCCTTCCACTCTTCCGCTGGTGTTATTGTCGTTAGACGGACGTCTATAATGTCCTCTTTTCCCTCAGCTTTTGAGCAGTGTTTACATTCCAGGCTACATGGGCGGCGGGACATGGCATCAGCATTACCGTGGACACTTCCCTTGCGGTGCTCAATGGCGAAGTCATAACTTTGGAGTCTCTCAATCCACCGAGCTAGCTGTCCTTCTGGATTCTTAAACTGTAGTAGCCACTTCAGCGATGTGCTTTGTAGGCTGGTCTACTTAGGAGCGCCGCCGTTTCACGCGTCTGAGCATACGAGACAGTTTCAGCAAATGTTGGCTTGGGATTCGCGTACGTCTCTCGCTTGGTATACACGTCCCGCATTCCGTTGATGAACCTCTGGATTTTTACTCTTTCGAGGTGCTCACCAGATGCATCTCCAATTGCCAAATGAGCCAACCTTTCGATCTCGGAGGCGAATTCCTGTAAAGTCTCGTTGGATTTCTGGCAGCGATTCTCCAGCTCCATCTAGTAAATCTGTCTCCTGTGCTCGCTACCATAACGTCTTTCCACTGCACCCATTAACGCATCGTTACTGTTCCTTTCACAATCAGGAACAGTGTTGCCATTTTATNAATTTCAAATATGTATATTTGTTTCCATTTTTGACTAAGTGACCCAAAATCTGTTAGAAATGGGTACTAGCCTTATCGTGGAGAAAATTTTCATGTCAGGCAGGGTTGTATGAAATTGGTCCGATTTCGCTTATTTTTATTTTAAACGAAGAAGGGATTTTCTTCATAAAATGTTTGTTAATGTCTTAATTTTAAGTGTGAAGTTTTATTCGCAAACTTAGAAAATAAGAAATTGTTTCACTGTTAATACACTTAAGATGTGTTTGGATATAGTGCCAACAAACAGAATAAATATTACATGTAGATATTGTCTTCCCAGATACATATTCAATTCTGCCTAAATTACAAAACATAATTTTGGCCCACTCCCAAAGTTTAAGGTAAGGGAAAAATTGATATTTTCAAGCACTATGTACACATATGTATGTTTTTAAACAAACTTTTTTGCTGAGAACTTATTTAAATTCCAAAAACCGAATGCCAACTTGAATTAAAGGAACCCACACTGAAGTGAGTCAAAATCAAAATAAAAGAGCACAAATTTCTATGTAAAGCAAAACTCTCTTTGAATCCTACGAGATATCTGCCGGTCATATGACCGGCCATCTAAATGGGTGATCTGCAGTCTTTTGGCATCATATTTTACATCAGAATTGAAGGGATTTCTGAAAAATCTGACCAGTTCTTTTGTGTAACTGTGATTCTGCATCCCTTGCCAACATATGGGCTCGGTTGATGTTAACTTAAGGTCGTTGTTTTACTGCCTTAAAATTGAAGGAAAATTTGTACAGCGTATTTTATGTGTACTGGTTTCTATTTGAGTGTATTGAGAATCGGTCAGTCTGAAAAGGCCTTCTAGGGAAGACAATAGGTTTGTTCGTCGAAAATCTAGCGAGAATTATCACTCAAGATATCAGATAGTAAGAAAAAATGTTACCAAATTCTCTCTCATGTAGAGTAACTTGCAAATTTCTGTAGGAACGTAAATTTGCAAGTTTTTCTGCCAGCAAGTGTCCACAGTTGCATTTCAAACAAAAGAAATTTAACGAACTTGTTTATTCAAGTTATCGTCGACAAAAAATCCAACCATGTGCCACAATCATATGTTTTCCCTTAATTGCAAATTCTTGTTGGCAAAATTTTTTCCGGCTCGAATTTGTAGCTTCTCTCCAAGAAATAGTGTTTTTACTCGTGATTTATTTTAATAAAACATGTGAAATTTAGTTGAAACATTTTAGCCGTTTTTAGCCGGTTTTATTTGCCAATATAGCCGGTTCGTCCAAAAAGTTCTGGCAACACTGATCAGGAATAGTCTNTCGCTACCATAATTATTTGCCAATATAGCCGGTTCGTCCAAAAAGTTCTGGCAACACTGATCAGGAATAGTCTGCAAGATTTCCGCTGCAGGTCCTTTTAATGCAACGAACAGTGCAGCGGATTTATCCTCCATGCTCCAGTGATTTGCTGTAGCTGTCTTCTCAAACTGGAGCTTAAAGACTTGGAAAGGAATCGTGCCGTCAAAGGATGGAGTCTTTACCTTGGGCGCGCTGGTCGAAGAAGGTGGGCGATTCAACTGCATATCTCGGAGGCGACCTTCCAACTCTTCTACCTTAGCCTCGACTTTCTCCTGAATTAGCTCTTCGATTTTATCTTGTCGTTCCTCGATTTTATCCTGTCTCTCTCTGAGTTCCGCGTTATCTTTAAATAAATTCTCTTGTAGCTGAGTAATCTTTTCATCTAGCTGCGATGACATGTACGTTTTCTGTGCTTCCAGCTGCGAGGACATGCGTGTTTCCTGCACTTGCAGCTGGGATGACATCTGTGATGACAGCTGTGATGACATCTGTGACATGGCAGCCAATAACGTGTTCATGTCCATAGCTGGTGATGACGACGGAGGCTTTTGCTGTTCTTCAACCTTCCCGGATGTCTGCTGCACATCCTTCGACGAACAAGCAGCCTCATCCTTCTGTTCGTCCTTTGCGGATGCATCGTCGGATTTACCCTGGAAGTCGTATTTGTCCACGTCGATGCCTTCAGCTTCCATAGCCTCCCGCAAACGGGATAATAATTCCACTTTTCTTCCGGAGGTGGCCAAATTACGCTTTTCCAACTCCTGTTTCAGTTCCTCAATCTTTAAGTCCTGAATTTTCGCCATTTTCAGTAGTTTATCCTTCGGGATTTATTTAACAATCCCACTTCTGACACCAATTGTTACGATTATCCTCGAAACCTTGAGGGATTACCCAAATATACTCGGGCTCGTATCGCTGGATTGTTAAATAAATGCTAACGATGACCAAATTGTAGTACAATTAACTTTATTGTACAACAAACAATTTACAATACTTGCTAATACAGTAAAAACACTTTACAATACTTGTTAAAGCAATAACAACGCTTTACTACTTGTTAACACAATTAAACTTATAGCTTGCTTATTCGCAACTCGCTTCTCTGCTCACTTTACTTGTAGCTTGCTGACTTGTAACTAACTCACCTCGTGGTGGCGGCGCCCTTATATACCTGCGCTGGCACTTATGGCAACTCTAGAACATTCTGAAGTTTATCGCTCATTCTCTTTCTCTCGCTGTTCGCAGTGTTCATCCAACTTGACGTTTCTCTTTGTGGAACATTCTACGTCATTCTTCGAACATTCTGCCTATTTCTCGTTGTTCGCTTTGTGTTGCCGCAGTATTCGCCACACTCCACAATATTCATTTGAAATCGGCCCTAACTATCATCGATAATAGGTACCATAACCATAATAGGTCTTTCGCAAGGGGCGATTTTTCAGGCAACTTTTGCGTTCAACTCATACAGGGTTGCACGAAAAAAAAATTGAATGGGTAAAAATATCAAAATATAAAAAAATATCACAATATTCGCCATAAAAAGGCGTTTGCATTGTTTAGCTTTGCATTCTACTTTTGGTTGAACGGCCTTTCAACTAATCGCTTTCAACAAAGTCGGTCGCCAGCCAACATTTAGCCATTCAACTTTTTTTCGTGCAACCCTGCGTGAGTTGAAAGCAAAAGTTGAACGCAAAATCGCCTCGTGCGAACACCTTTTAAACAGCTGATTTTTCATAGTCAACAATGTCGGTGTTGCCAGATGCGAAACAGGATGCGGAAAATGTGTAATATCGTAGGTTACTTGCGCAGAACTTCTTTCACTATTACTAAATTAACACTAAATTCTTAAACCTCATAGGCCCGTCAGAATGGGTACTTTGCGTACGTTCCGCTCAAGGATGAAACTGACAGTTGAGTAGACTGTGTGTGTTTGCATAGAGAGCGCCAGATTGGCAACCCTTGCGTCGACGGACTCAACGAACGTTGGCCAACTCTCAACTTTTGACGCAAGTAAGTCCGGCAATGCTGACATTTGACATCTGAGTTTCATTCGCGCCGTTTTCTTTTAATTTTTCATTTGCTCAACAAAATTCCTTCAAAACAAGAAAAACATAAATTTGGGAATATAAAATGGAGTTTAAATTAATTGAAGCGGTGCAAATGCACCCTTGCTTATATGATAAAAGTATAGTGGCTTATAGAAACCGGTTGGGGAAAGAAAAAGCGTGGAATTATGTGGCGGCCGCCACAGGTTGCAGTGGTAAGCGGCGATTCGGGTACGGTTTAATTGTTTGTACAACGACTTTGGGTTGCTGTGCGGTTAAAATATGCTTATTTCGCACACACACCGCCTTCCCCTCCGACCTCCACCCCAAAATCGTTGTACAAATAACTAAACATTTCCCGTACCTTGTGTTTTCCAATGTTTTCAAAAATTTATCGGCAGTGGAACAGTGTCAGAGTCGCTGGAGGTCCCTTCGCGACCGATTTGTAAAGGAAGAAAGCGGAAGAAAGGCGCCTTCTGGGAGTGCTGCAAACGACAAGGACGGTAGTGGATGGAAATATTACGAGGCATTGGCATTTCTGCAACGGCACGTTGCACCACGCAAGTAATTTATGCAACCATTGCTATCATTGAATCCACTGTAGTCAGATCATTCGTGAAATCTTCAAAAGTGCTATCACTGAATGCGGATACATATGTATGTACTTACATACATAGCTACGACCGTAGCCTATACTTTGAATGCATACGTTCCTGGGAATTGAGATTCAGTGATTACATTTTCGTAGTTTCACAAAAATCGGACTGCGATGGTTACAGCGATAGTCCCGAATACTTAATAGAGTATTACGAGGTTACACCGCATGCTCGCCTAAAATAATATACATATTTTGGAATTTTAAGCTTTTTAAGACAAAATTAAAAATGTATTTCAATTGCCGAAAAGTCCACTTATATAGATGTATGTATATTATTTAAGGACGTTTGGCAACACAACGTTTGGTACCAACATAAATTTTGAAAAATGTACACCGCAGCCTGAGCAATCCATTAATGTATATGAGTCGCAACCTCTTTTCGAATATTCCTACGATGAAGAGCCCGTAATTGAGCAGACGCAGCAGACAGGGCTACCTACAGTGGTTCAAAAATCAACGTCGTCTCTTGTTGACTTCCAACCCGAAGAAGAGCCAATTGTGACCCCTTCTAGAGCATTGAGTCGGAAAAAAGATGAGGAGCGATTGGACACTCTGTGTGGAGCCGTAAGCGACTGGTTAAAAAAATCAGAAGCTGCTCCCAGTTAGCCGTAATTCCGATTTTTTAAATGTTCTGGACAGCTATCTTCTGAAATATGAAGAAGATATTCAGGACAGAATGAAAATTGAAATATTGAATTTTGTTTTTAATGGTGGACAATTTGTTGTCATGTAAAAATTTTATTTCATTTTTTATTTTCTTAAGTTTCGTTTTTAATGGCAAACAATTTGTTGCCTTGACGTAATTGTTTTATAATTAAATCTTTTACATAAACTATCATTTTGTAAATATTAACAAAGCTCTTCTTGTTAGAGACTTTTTATTTAAAACTGGTTTATATTATAACAAAAACCACATAAATCCAAGTTTGAAACTTTGTATGATACTTAGAAAAGTTAGAAAGTTTTCACTAAAATTTCAAATTTTATTCATTATTGTCAAAATTTCCTATGCATTTGTCAAAAATTTCACTAGCCTCGTGAGCTACTAAAATTTTATTCACCTCACACTTTTAAAAAATTTACTCGCCGAGAACTTTGTTACCGATTCACACACGCTCTTAGTATAATAAAGAGGAAGTGTTTTGTTATAATATAAACCATTTTTGAATAAAAAATATTTAAAATGAAAAGCTTTGTGAATATTTAAAAGAGGACTTATTCTACCGGATGTGTGTACATGAACTGTTATAACACAATGAAATGTAATGTTATAAACTAAATGAGAAAATTTAAATGTGAAATGAATTGATATACGTTTTGTAGATGTATGTATGTAAATTTAAACTACTGCGTACAGTGCCGCAAATTTTTGACACAGAATTTTTGAAAATGTATGCAAAATTTTTTACTCTTTATTTTTTCTGCTATGTGTTTAATAAAATACTGTTTATAATACAACAAAAAAAATAAAACTGAAATCTCTAAACTTTGTGCTAAACGAAGGAAAGCATACATATTTTGCAAGTTTTAATCAATGTATGCAGTTTTATAACCCATTTAATTTTAGTTGCTAAGAAATCGCGTTGATTTTTGCACTTTGTATACTAAAATTGAATGGGCTATAAAACTGTATACTTTGATTAAAACTTGCAAAATATGTATGCAAATTCACCGAATTTTCCTTCGTTTAGCACAAAGTTTAGAGATTTCAGTTTTATTTTTTTTTGTAGTATAAACAGTATTTTTTTAAACAAAGAGCAGAAAAAATAAAGGGTAAACAATTTTGCATACATTTTCAAAAATTCTGTGTCAATAATTTTGCGCGGCACTGTATACATACATATACATATGTATACATTTGCGTTCAACTAATTAGAAACGAAATTCAAAATGATATTGCTTGCAAATTGTTTATTTTTTTATTTTTAATAATTTTCATTTAAAATATAATTCAATCTGTAACAGAAACCACAATAATAAAAGTTTCAAAGCTTGCGAAACTTGCAAAAAAATGTATCAAACTTATTTTATTGTGGTTTCAGTTACAGATTGAATTATATTTTAAATGAAAATTATTAAAAATAAAAAAATAAACAATTTGCAAACAATATCATTTTGAATTTCGTTTCTAATTAGTTGAACGCAGGTGTATATACATGAACTGTTGTAATACAATGAAATGTATAAACTGAATAAGAAAGAACAAAACCAAATGTAAAGTTATGAACTGTATTAAAAAATTGAATTACTTAAATAAAATAAAATTACTTACTTTTTTAAAAATTTGGATTACTAAGCTCGAAATTGTGAATATCTAATATACAGTAGTCGAAAAGATTATAACCGCACCATATATTGACAAGTTTTTAGGAGTATTTTTGTTTTTTTTTTAGTTTCAGTTAATTTTTAGAAAAACTGTAGAATTCTTTAATAAAAACCTTGTTATAAAAAAACAAGTAAAATTAAGTAACAAAAATGTGAAAACTTGTCAATACGTGGTGCGGCCATAATATTTTCGGCCACTGTTTGATAGTTAATATTTTTAAGCCCGCTATACAGCTCATTGCGAGCGTGAACGTGAACTTTTTAGTTTGACTAATAACTTCGTTATTACTTCACCTTTTGAATTAGTTAATATCAAAAATAGAGAATTAAAATATCTTTCAGAATTATAGAATTAAAAGTAATTATTTATTTTAATTATTTGCACTACATGTACTTGCATGTACTCTTCTTTACTGAGTTCTTCGGGGGTGAGATACTAAATAATCTTTTAATTCATCCCTCAATTTAAAAGCATTGTAGGAAGCGTTGTTTGAGCCCATGCGCCTAGTATTCTGTAAGGGGGCAGGAATTTCATTTCGCCATAAGCCCCTTCTCACTTCGCCATTGATTTCTTGATCAATTGCTTCAGGGGGACAATAGCTACCATCGTGCATTTTTACATAGTTGTGCAACACGACAGTGGCCTTCACGATCTTCTCGGCAGAAGCGGGGCTCATTTGTAGTGGACTTAATAATATTCTCCACCGGCACGCCAAAATTCCAAACGCGTTTTCGATGACCCGACGAGCCCGGGACAATCGTTGGTTAAAAATTTGCCTGTCTGGTGGTAAGTTTGTTCCTAAAAGAAATAAACGTGTTAACAGCGAAAGACAAAAATATAATCACTTCTTACAAACCTGGATACGGTCTCATCAAAAATGGTTTCAACGGAAACGCACTATCGCCAACAAAGTAATGGGGAAAACAATTGTTTGTACCTGGTAGAACATCATTTTCAGGCAGATCCAGAGTACCGCCGTAAAGGTTTTCGCCGAAGCCCGAATTCCATAGGACACCGCCATCGCTTTGGGAACCGTAAGCGCCAATATCGATTCCAGTAAATGTATAATTGGCGTCGCATACTGCAAGTAAAACTATGGAATAATTTCCCTTGTAGTTGTAGAAGAGAGAGCCAGAGTTTGACGGACAAAATACGTTTATATGTTTGCCGTCAATTGCCCCGACGCAGTTCGGCAAATCCCACATTGTATAAAAATCAATGGCAATTCGTTTCCACTCATCATTCTGTGGTAATGAGACATACACGGGACCAAGCACTTCCCACAGTGCGTCGCACGTTTCTCCAACTATTTCCTTCATTGTGGAGAGTCCGACCTTGAATGAAGAGGCGTAAAAAGGCTTACCTCCACCATGAGCCAAATAACTAAGAATAAATTAAACCCACATTATTACTTATATTTTTACTATGTGTGAGATGTGAGCAATATACAACTTACCACAGGGCCAAATAAAGCCGGCATTCGGGAGAAATAGACGGTCGATTCGAGTTTTTAGTAAGTTTTTCTCGGATCAAATTAAGGAGCAGGTCGAATACTTTCTTCTACATCCTAACAGTATTTTTAAACTCCTGTGGGAAGGAAAAGTGCGTGGCAAAGAAACCATTTGCTTCACGATCTCGTAGAGCTGGTCGTACCCACCATCTCCGATTGCCATACAAACGTTTGAAGCACTCCATGGCTTCCAACAATATTAATGTAATTAAAATTACTTCAAAAGCTTCCATTTTCAAAGTTAATTTATTATTTTGATAATAACAAATATAAATTTTTAGATTTATTCGCAGCGAAAAATTTGGCGGTAATAAAGAACAGCTGATTTTTGTTTACAAACGCAATACCTCAATGTGGCGTATCTCTACGTGACGTACGCCACTTCCTTCGCATACTTTTCCGGTACTGACGTACAAGTACCCATTCTGACGGGCCTATCAACAGCAGAATTCAATAAAATGTGTACATCAAATTAAAGGTAATGGCGCATATTCATAGTCATATTTAGTTCACAACTAAGTCGAAACTATCATAAGTTACAACTAAAGCTATTCATAGTCGCCTTAGTTTCGACTTTTCTGGCTAAGTACCAACTTAAAATTTAGTTTCGGCTGCAGCTGCAATTAAGTCGTAACTAGGAAGAAGTATTTTATTAAATTAATGAAAAAAATACGAAATTTGTAAAAATTAAGTTGGCAGAGCGAGATTTTGATAATATTGAATGATCTCCAATTGAAATTTACAAAGAGCGATCCATTTGAATCGGAAGATAAAATTAAATGCGTATTATACAATTCGAATAAGGCTACATCACAATTTCATAATTGGAATGATTTACATATATAAATGCTCAAATAATAAGTCAATTTCAAACTTTTCTTTTAGAGAAAATTGGTGCATAACATTTAAATATGTGTTTGTATGTGTCACAGCATGCTTTCGATAAACATCGACTTCACATCATTGCGGTAGTTCTTGCTATTTCACACAATTAACAAGAAACTTATACCTTATTCTTTTGCATAAACAATCAAACTTGACATTATTTAATCAAAATTTCATTTTTCCAAAATATCGTAAAGAAAAATCGATAAATTTTCACACTCGTTTTGCAATATCGTAAAACTAAGTTAAAACTACTTAGTAGAAGTCTGTAAGGCGACTATGAATAGAAGTGAATTTTAAGTTGGTACTTAAATTTAAGTTGCAACTTTATTAGTTTCGACTTAGTGGCTGGACTATGAATACGCGCCAATAACTTGTGCTTTCNACGTGACGTACGCCACTTCCTTCGCATACTTTTCCGGTACTGACGTACAAGTACCCATTCTGACGGGCCTATCAACAGCAGAATTCAATAAAATGTGTACATCAAATTAAAGGTAATGGCGCATATTCATAGTCATATTTAGTTCACAACTAAGTCGAAACTATCATAAGTTACAACTAAAGCTATTCATAGTCGCCTTAGTTTCGACTTTTCTGGCTAAGTACCAACTTAAAATTTAGTTTCGGCTGCAGCTGCAATTAAGTCGTAACTAGGAAGAAGTATTTTATTAAATTAATGAAAAAAATACGAAATTTGTAAAAATTAAGTTGGCAGAGCGAGATTTTGATAATATTGAATGATCTCCAATTGAAATTTACAAAGAGCGATCCATTTGAATCGGAAGATAAAATTAAATGCGTATTATACAATTCGAATAAGGCTACATCACAATTTCATAATTGGAATGATTTACATATATAAATGCTCAAATAATAAGTCAATTTCAAACTTTTCTTTTAGAGAAAATTGGTGCATAACATTTAAATATGTGTTTGTATGTGTCACAGCATGCTTTCGATAAACATCGACTTCACATCATTGCGGTAGTTCTTGCTATTTCACACAATTAACAAGAAACTTATACCTTATTCTTTTGCATAAACAATCAAACTTGACATTATTTAATCAAAATTTCATTTTTCCAAAATATCGTAAAGAAAAATCGATAAATTTTCACACTCGTTTTGCAATATCGTAAAACTAAGTTAAAACTACTTAGTAGAAGTCTGTAAGGCGACTATGAATAGAAGTGAATTTTAAGTTGGTACTTAAATTTAAGTTGCAACTTTATTAGTTTCGACTTAGTGGCTGGACTATGAATACGCGCCAATAACTTGTGCTTTCTTAGTAATATAAATTTCTTTTGCATTAATCATGAAATTTAAAAAAAAAAAGGTTAGTTTATGAAGAAATACGTAATTTCTTTTCGTTTGTTAGTATTTTTTGATCAAAAATAAAATAAAGCATATAAATTATAGACATCAACAGAAAGATAAATGAATTGTCTTGGCATCNTAAAATGTGTACATCAAATTAAAGGTAATGGCGCATATTCATAGTCATATTTAGTTCACAACTAAGTCGAAACTATCATAAGTTACAACTAAAGCTATTCATAGTCGCCTTAGTTTCGACTTTTCTAGCTAAGTACCAACTTAAAATTTAGTTTCGGCTGCAGCTGCAATTAAGTCGTAACTAGGAAGAAGTATTTTATTAAATTAATGAAAAAAATACGAAATTTGTAAAAATTAAGTTGGCAGAGCGAGATTTTGATAATATTGAATGATCTCCAATTGAAATTTACAAAGAGCGATCCATTTGAATCGGAAGATAAAATTAAATGCGTATTATACAATTCGAATAAGGCTACATCACAATTTCATAATTGGAATGATTTACATATATAAATGCTCAAATAATAAGTCAATTTCAAACTTTTCTTTTAGAGAAAATTGGTGCATAACATTTAAATATGTGTTTGTATGTGTCACAGCATGCTTTCGATAAACATCGACTTCACATCATTGCGGTAGTTCTTGCTATTTCACACAATTAACAAGAAACTTATACCTTATTCTTTTGCATAAACAATCAAACTTGACATTATTTAATCAAAATTTCATTTTTCCAAAATATCGTAAAGAAAAATCGATAAATTTTCACACTCGTTTTGCAATATCGTAAAACTAAGTTAAAACTACTTAGTAGAAGTCTGTAAGGCGACTATGAATAGAAGTGAATTTTAAGTTGGTACTTAAATTTAAGTTGCAACTTTATTAGTTTCGACTTAGTGGCTGGACTATGAATACGCGCCAATAACTTGTGCTTTCTTAGTAATATAAATTTCTTTTGCATTAATCATGAAATTTAAAAAAAAAAAGGTTAGTTTATGAAGAAATACGTAATTTCTTTTCGTTTGTTAGTATTTTTTGATCAAAAATAAAATAAAGCATATAAATTATAGACATCAACAGAAAGATAAATGAATTGTCTTGGCATCGTTATACCATGTCCCCACCGGAGCTAACCACGTAGTTATGGCTATTGAGTTGGTTATCCCGATAACCCACTTGATTTAGCGTAGTTTCGCCATATAAAAATGACAACACGTACCCATTTCACTGAGATGGTTAAAAGCTAACCAACTCGAAACCACTCGAAAGTCTGATACAACCCTGTGTTTTCCCGCCATCTGTGGGTCATTAGCGTTCAAATGTAAAGAATTCGTTTCCTACTAGTGTTTGGACTCAACTAAGATCAGATTAGATTTACTCCGGTTTTTGAAAAAATTTGTAATTACTCTACTCCGCTTCACTTCAAATCTATTCCGTTTTTTTTTATACATGTTACGCCCCTCTTGGGGCTGTGTTTTTGAGCCTTCACCACCGGTTTCAGTAAAAAAATTGAAAGTTAGCCAAATCTCACTGTTAAAAAGTAGCTCTTCCATAGCAATGCGTCAATAAAGTAACTTCTTTATTTTTTGATGTATGGCTGTACAAATTGGCGAATGCAGAACTTTACTTACGTTGTTAAAAAATATATGTAGAATGAAATTTATATAAAGTAGAAAAGGTTTGCTTTTTAAAAAATTAAGTGTTAGATACGTTCTACTATATAGAAAATGCTAAAAATTACCTAAATATTTAACATATTATCCTTACATTTCCCCGCGTTCTTATTTTGCATGAATAGAAAATATTTTAGTAAAACAATTAATGTCAGAAACAAAAATAAAAAGTTCAATCTAGTACGGGAAAATTTGTTTTTACTCCGATTTTTGCAGTAATTTAGTCCTGAATCGATTTGTGGAAGTCCGAACACTGTTCTTTACATTTGTACTGTTTTATAAACCTCAAACCGCAGTGTGGACCAGGGATGAAAAATGGAAATTTCAGATTGTACCTAATATCATAAAATAAATGTACCTAAATGAGGCTGATTGTACCTAAAAAAAGTTACATCATTCATTTGTAGTTTTTTTTTTTTTAATTTTATTTAGGGGCTGTCCATATATATATAATGCATATGACAAAAACCGAAGTAATGCATACATGCACAGTTTCGACTCAAAACCGAAGTAATGCATATGACAAAAACCGAAATAGTGCATACATGAAAACGAACTTTTTTCGGAGTAGGCGGCCTTCGGCCGCGCTTAGGGATTATAACCCTTACTAAGTAGAATTCTCCTTTCTGTGTTGCCGGAAAAGAAGGGCGCAAGTACTTTTGCGCAGAACTTCTCTCTGCGTAGGCGGACTTCGGCCGCGCTTAGGGATTATAACCCTTACGAAGTAGAATTCTGCTTTCTGTGTTGCCGGAAAAGGGGGCCGGAAGTATTTTTGCACAGAAATTCGGTTAAAAACCGAAATAATTCATATACGAAAGACGAAGGTATGCATACATGCACAGTTTCGGTTGAAAACCGAAATAATGCATATGAAAAACCCGAAGTAATGCATACATGCACAGTTTCGGTTGGAAACCGAAATAATGCATATGAAAAAACACCGAAATTATGCATATGCATACTTTCGTTTTAAAAGCGAAATAATGCATATGAAAAAAAAGAAGTAATGCATACATGCACAGTTTCGGTTGAAAACCGAAATAATGCATATGGCAAAAACCGAAATAAAGCATACATGCACAGTTTCGGTTGAAACCGAAATAATGTCTAAATGCACAGTTTCCATATGCGCAACTTCGGTGCCCCCTTCTTTTTCACTCAAAGGTATTTCATTTTCACAGTCCACTTAAATTTCTTCTTGATTCACCCACTTAATAATATCCTCTGTTTCATTTTCTGTGATGACACATATGAGCTCTCGCCCGCGTCGTGAAATTATCCTCTTTGCTCTTCGACGCTGAGGCTCAGAAAAGATCAAGTGAAGCTTTTTGTGAATGCTTATTGCCTTATTTGATGCAAAGTACTTACTACATACATTGCATATTCTCTCCTCAAGTTGGTCATTCACTGAGGGACAAAAAAATGATAAGGTATACTTTTGTAAGTGCACGGAATAGTCACTTTCAGTGCCATTCTTAGGAATAATGGTATGAAATGATCATTTTCTTGTACTTCTGTCGGAGAAGGTACTGTCAACATTGATTGACAACAAAGAGTAATAGGTGGTGGACAAAAACCGGTTTGA